GTTGGAGATTCATGATCCTTGAGGTCCCTTCCAACCCTGGCAATTCTGTGATTCTGTGATTCTGTGAGGCTCGGTGACAGAGCCAAAATCTCCTGGCTTTCAGTACTTTCAGAATTGTGCTTGCTTCTTTTAATTAAAATGTACTGGTTTTGTTCTTCTTCTCTCTGGTCAGTGCCTGAGTATGGTTAATTATTGGTTCTGTCTATAGTTTGTGGATTTCTGCACTTCCAGGGTTTGAGTTTTACAGTGCTGGAGAGACTGTCATAGCTGTACCTTGCTTGGGAGCTCAAGGACAGAGTAATGACAGCATGGCCTATTTAGAAGAGGCTGAACGATGGGGATGGAAAAAGAACACCAGGAACCTTTCTAAGACGTATCAGGGAAAAGCATTACTCATTTCACTAATCACTGTAACTAATGGGCAGGTGAGGAGCTGTCTCAGATTGTTGTGGCATGCGTAAATTCAAGAGATAAGGGGAGCCGTAGTGTGAATAAGCAGTGAGAACCCAGTGACAGTGGTACTTCCATCCCTTGACACTTTATTTTTTAAAGGGGTACTTTTAGAAGGTTTGCAGTTTATGCAGTAGAACGCAAAAATGCAAATAGCAACAGCAAAAAAGCAAGTTCAAATCTGGGCTTGGAGACACAGTTCCCTCATTAATGAGTTACTGGACTTTTCCTTAGGAAAGCAGGGCCCAGAACTTAGTGTGTGTGCACTTGTTTTTATTTGCATTGGTGAAGTTGTGGCCCAGCGATGAGATCGCTTCCTTCGAGCTGTGACAGCTGGCCGACAGGAACTGCCTCTGCAGCCTATGGCACATCCATACACCATGTGAATCTGCTAAGGACAATCAGAACGCTGTGCCCTCAGTGATTGGCAGACTGCTGCTAGGGCAAGATGTTTGCTTGCCAGTGTGTACACTGGTTTTTAATTTCTATAACAAACGGTGCTGGGGTCACCCTGGGCTGAGCTGACCTGTTCCCATTTATTTCAAGGCTCACAGACTCTGCTGAAACTTCAGCTTCTCTCATTCTGCTTGTGGCATAATTGAGTCCTCTGAGGACTGAAAGGCTTTAACCTGATAAAGGTTCAGGGGTTGACACTGGGAAGCCTGAATAAGCTCCAGTACAGAGGAAATTCAGCCATAGTTAGTTCCTCTTGGCAAGAACTGTGCTACTGTGAGAGCACTGGGCTGAGCAAGGGGCTGCACCATTCACGTCTGCAGGCTTTGCAGTCAGTGGTGCTGCTTCCACAGCCAGGCAGAAAGCAACCCACAGAAGCAATGCAGTGCTTTATCGAGGAAACTCCACTGCTAAGCCTCTTCCTTTAAAACAATTTTAAACTACTTGAAGCATGGATGTGTCTTACTGTATATACTTACTGAAATGGGTCCCCAAATAGAAGCTCTCCAACTACTGCAATACCAATAATAAAAAGAACATATTTAAACATCAGCTGTATCACAGTTTTATAGGAACAGACTGAAAACATTCAGGCCAAGCTGCAGCTCTCATTGTGGTATTTTGAGCCTATGACTCCTTTTTGGGAAAACACATTATAGTGAGAAACAATAGAATTTGTCTCTTTTCCTTGCAGTATAAAGTACAGTACAGTCTTCCAAATGTCTGAAGAGATGAAGCAGTGCAGTGGAAGCAAGGAAAAGCAGACACCACAGGTAATTTCATATCTGTATGCGTATTCATGAACTGCAGCGTTGAGTCAGAAGTATCTCTGTTTTTTTTTGTGGTGTTTCAGAGCAATCATTTTCTTTTCAGCTCATTCTGTAATTCAGAGGTGTTGAAATCTCTACTTGAAATAAAATTGGGAAACAAAATGCACACAGCTGGGCCAATTTTTTTTTATTCTTCTTATTTGACACTCACATTACAAAATTTAGAAACCATAGACAGTTCAGGCAAACTGTTAAAACACAGTATAAATTAGGGGTTTTTAATATATAAATTCTATACACAGGTAAGTTAGCTTGAACATGAACTGACAAAAGGATTTCATAACAATCTTACCACAACTGTATAAAAAGGCATGGGAATAGGACTGGCACTATAATCATGAATGCGGGTTAAGACATTTTCCACAACAGCTATAAAGCATAACAATGACCATGCTATTCTTGCAGTGTTTATGGGGGTACAGTATGCATTTTACCATTAACATTTTGCAATATCTATGTACAGTCACAAAATCATAACAGCCACTTTCAAGTAACCTTACTGTTTTCTGCCTGCGCAGTTGATAAAGCGTTGGTAATTGCTTTGAGGACTTCCAACAAATCTTTGTGGTTTGAGTATTGTGGAGGGGAAAGGGATTTCAGTTCAGCCTGAAAATGAAATAGTTTCATTTAAAGAAAAAGCTGTGGAAAAAACACAGCCCCTCATTACTATTGTTCACACAATCAGTACATACCAGTCTTCTAATCCATATTTCCTTTTATCCTAGCTTACTCTTCCTTAAAAACTAATTTATTTCCATTTTTTTTTTCCAAGCACAGTTGCAAAAAAGAATAATAATAATAGATGAAACACAGAAGTTGCAGACAATTTGGGGTAATTTTTTGAAAGCACATGTTTTCCAGGTAACCACCTGGACATTTTTTTAATTTCTCAGTCTGAATGTAAGGACAGTTCTGTTTACCCATTTTTAAGACTGCGAATAAATGTTTAGGAGTAATATGCTCTTAGGGTGTAGGTTTAAGATAGCTGGTATCGTCACATTTCACAGAGCTTGCTAAAAGTGAAAAAAAAACAAAACTAAAATCTGATTCGTGATTCTGTGATTCTGATTTCTCACTTTTATATACTGATGAATACTTGCTAAAAGTGTAGAGTTCTGAAATTCAGAAGCCAATTTATTTTCCATCTGTGTTGCGTACTGGCAGTTTTATTTCATTTTACAGGCTGACTCCTAAGGGAAGTACTTGCCTGTTTGTAAGAATCGTATCTTGAAACACATCTAATAGCTGTGTGCTCGTATCTTTCACAAAGCTTTAAGAGTTCGGAGGATTTTACTGGAACAATTCCTTCTTCTTCAAGGTGAGGATATACTATAAGCAGTAACCCAGCTTGGGCTGTTATGAAAATACATCTCGTGTCAGCTGTCTATTCTATAGCCCCCATTTTCTCGACTCTGTGTACTCATATGCCAAACATCAGGAAACAATCACACGCTTAGCTGTCCCCCAGAGATGGGGATTGTAGAAGCTGAATTAAATAATGAAAGCAACGATGCAATACTGACCAGTCACAGCTCACTGAGGAAGTTGCATTTCTCTAGAAGGTAGCTATGTTCTGGGATTTTCTGGTCACAGGTCCATTAAATAGGCTGTGCACATTTCAGAATGAAGTTTACTGTACAGGTATTTAACTTACAGAACATGTGAGTCCTGAACTTGAAGTCTTCTGCATTCAGGAAGGCCTGGGAGCAATGCTGCACTGCAGTTTTAGTCTGGGCTGGTAGTTCTGGTGCCAGGAAGGAAGGGAGAAGGGACTCCTAAAGTGACAGCTGTGATATACGAGTGCAGAGCCCATGTATGGCAGAGAACCAGAAAAATATTCCCATGGCATTTTGCAAGAGCTGTTTATAGAGCAAAATGCCAATTCTGTGGAGGGAAAGGCAACAAGGGGAGAGATGGCAGTCCAAGCCACTCCGAATGTACAGCATTACAGTCTGAGTTTGGCCACAGTGCAAGGCAAGGGATCTAGACAAGTTATCCATAGTTAGCTTTGTTCTGTAACTGAGGTTATAGCCTGAGTTTCAGTGTCTTGCACCTCTGCAGAGGGTATGAAATGCCACCCGTACAAGCTATTAGCTTCTAATATACATCTTGCATAGTATAAAAATGCAGAATGTGATGCCTTCTGTGCGCACTGACAATGTAGCTGATATTTTTTGCATATCTGAAAATATGCAAAAAGAGCTGTAAAAGAAATAAATACAAAACAGGTCTGCCTCCAGATCTGTTCCACTGAAAAAAAAAAAGTAACTTGTTTGTTGCCACCCCTGCTCAGCTCAGGGACTACAGAGCAGCTAATGTTGATTATAAAGAAAGGGATACTCCAAGGCAGCGTGCTTCCTTTCCAACATACCCAATGTTAAAGTACTGGTACAGCTTGCTGCATGCATCACTATATGCCACTGTATTCTCTCCTGCCTTGGCCTGCCCAGCTGCCATTGATATTAATAGGAATAGCACATGCACAGTTATCTTTTCCCACTCTGCTGCCATGCTGTGAAATACAAAAGTTAACAACCGTCAAGGTGTTACTCATAATTTTTTAGTACTTATTTTATCATGCTGCTAGGATCTTAAAATCTCTGTCAATGAAGTAACAAATTCTCCACCGTTTCCAGCCCTCTAGAGGAACTTTTAGTTCCAAGAATTTTCTTGTAATTATTCTGTTGGATGGAGGATGAAATACATTTTGCCTCGGGTGAATTTCCAGTAACGCCCCACCTTTCCAAAGCATTGTATCCCAGCTTCACAAACCTCAGGGCATGGACAGGAATTCACATGACAGTTTGTACTGGACCATCTATCACTGCTGCACCCCACCAGTGTATGCACTGCTGTATGGATACCAGGTATGTTGATGCTGTTCCCCAGACACAATTCAGTAATTCCCTGCACCAAATACTGAGGTAATCTCATTTAACAGATAACATTAACAAAAAAGAAAAGAATGTTTTTGGCCCACAGTTGAGCCTTTGAGAAGGGAGCAGGGAGCCTTGCCATGCTTCCTCACCTCTTCCTAATGCTATTCTGCAGGTGCAACAATGGAAATACTCAGTTTACAATCAAAGGGGTTTTAATTTCTGATAAAAGACACTCCTGAGACAGTAAGGCTGATTTCTACTGCTTTCAAAAGAAAAAAGGTTTCAAAGCCAGAAGGCCAAATTCTGCTCTCAGATGTGAATTAATTCTCTGGATCAAATTCAGTCCTTGAATTTGCTTCTGAAACTTCAGCAACATCAGAGAAGACTTTTGCCAAGGCTGGATTTTCACCCTATTAAGTGCACCTGCCCATCTGAGAGTTGCAACCAGCCCTAACAAAAGGCCAAGGACTATTCAAATTGCCAATGTAATTTAATCCCTATGAATAACCTGGAGCAGTGCTACAGTTACAATTGCAGGACTGCTCCAAAACCCATCAAAATCAATTGGAGTTTTTCCCCTGGCACATCACTGAACTTGAGTTTGGTCTCTCCTATCAAACACAGTCATTATTAGGCCAGATATTGTAAGCAAAACAGTGTCTTTTCTACTGAAAACTCCAGTATCTTTTCTTTTTGATAACTCCAACTATACATTCAGTAACCTGAATGCTGTTCTAAACTGGATTTACCATCGTGCAAACCAGTGCGTGTGTGCTTTAAGAAAAGGTGCATAAACTATTGCAATAAAACATGATAGACTGACCAAGGGATCAGTAATGGGCAGGCGTGATTGTAAGCAGGTGATTATGTTATCAATACTCACCACATCATAACATACTTCCAAGCTAAAGAAAACATCCCTATGCTTGAACTGATTCTAATTCGAAGTGCCTTAGCAGCCGTGTCTGCACTGTGTTGATCCCAGCACTGCTGAGATCATGGTTTGATTCCAGACCTGCACGTCCTCTGTCTGCGTGGGGAGCTCCCACCAGCTTACAGCAGGACTGCCAGAGGGATAATGATGTGCTGAGCAAGCGTGCCCTGGTGCGTGGGGTTCTTCTGGGTGAGACTCCATGAGTTTTCTACCTTCCAAATTCAGTCATGGCCAGGAGATCTATGTTTAATTATCTATCCACCTTTAATGAGGTGATGTGATTCGTGTTGATGTGAAATTGAGGGCGAGACTGTATGATTAACTGTCTTTTGGAAGGCACTGAGCAAGTTCCTCTGCTGACTTCAACACAAGCTGAAGGCACACAACTCGTATTTTGATGAGCTTTGGATCTAGCCCTATGTTGCAGAATGGCACTCTCAAAAAATGAAATATAGGACTTGTGCTACCACTCTGATTACACAAGAGGAGGTGCAGAAATGATTTAATATATTTAGGTCTTTTCAAATATTGCTGTATAGGCAGAAGCTAAGTTAATGCTTCTGAAAGACTGTGTCATCTCACTGGCTTAAGGTGTTAACACCCTAGGATGATCTGGGGCTTCTGAAAGTCCCACTAAAACTCCCAGCTCTAGTTTTGCTGTGTTCTCTGTGCTGCATTAGCTCATGCAGTGATCCGGGAGGCAAATTCACCAAAAAATAGTGGTGGAAAGCCATGGCATAACTAACTGTAACTTGTCTTCGTGTTAGTCTAATGATTACATGCCTTACAGTTACTTTGCAAGGTGCATGCAGCATTTCTGGAGATCATACACTGTTCTGTGCACTGGCATCAATATGCCATGCACCTCTGTGAAGCATTAATTACTTTAGTATCCACCGAGAGATGAGGATGTTTAGCACCTTTGAAAAAAAATCTTTTTAAATGTGGGATTATATAAAGGCTTAAAGATGATCTGGTGCTTCTGAAAGTCCCACTAAGCCCTTAATACCTCCCTAAATCTAACTTCAATGCTTTCATTTTAAGTATTGGGGATTGAAAATTTTGGACTGTGAATGTAATTTAGTTTGCAGCAGTGATAAATGCTATGAGACCAAATTTTAACTCATACTTACAAAATTGCCTGAATTCATGGAAGGTACCAAGGATGTAAAATATCATGAGAAATGAAAATTCGATTCATCTTTGGGAGTTATCACCTCAGCTGTACCGGCCTCTATTGATCACTGGAAAATGATCATTTGCACTTAAAAAAGCAGTTTTAGGGAAGGGCCCATCCACCCACAGTGGGTTTCAGATAACTAAAAAACCTGTTCTGCCATGAAGCCTGTTAAAAAGATGCAGACGTTACAAAAAAAAAAACAACAAACCAACAAAAAACCATTTAGCAAATGCTTACATGAAACACATGTAAGCATTGCCATTGTTTATGGATATGTTTATGGTTATTGCTCTGGATTTGGTTGGAATTAAACAATTTTTTAATGGCATCATTTTGGAAATGGTTCTGCTGGAAGCAGTGGCTATGTGTGTATGTTTCCCTGTATAGCTCTCAGCTCATGGACAAAAATTAACAAACAGTATATCAACAGTATCACCGGAATAATTGCTCCCTGGCTGGAAGGATGCCATCCCATCCTCACACTTAGTTCTTCCATACAGAGCCCAAGTACAGACATGACATTTTTATGTTCCCCCTGGTTGAACTTGTGTGCTCGTAGATAAATGAAGAGGAGAATCAGCGCTCTCCATCACATCCCTGTGTACATACATCTAGAAGAAGCTGTCCTGAACAGCTCAGCCAGCTGCAGGAGTGGATGCCATGTGGCCACGATCCAGATTGCACAGGTTTCCACAGATCAAAACCCAACCTAAGAACTGCGCTGGAGAAATCAAGCGTTAGTATACGACACACAGCATGTCTCAGGCCATTGTTCTCAAGATCAGCTCAGCTGCCTGGGCTGCCATCAAATACTGCCTCACCAATGCCTCATATTTCAACACCTCACTCAGGCATGCAGAACCTTTGTGAGGTCTGGCAGTGGGCAGGAGCAGTTTCAGCTTTCTGTCTGAACGTGCAGGCCAGTACAGCCAGCTTTCATGATTAGCTTCAGTTTTCCAAACCCTATGGCCATTTGGAATCACTCTAAATTGAAATATAGCAGTTAATGATTTCAAAGAAAGTTTTATGTCCTGCTATTAGACAGAGTGGAACATCTGAAAGGTCAGCATCAGGTCAGTAATAAAGCAAAGTATCATATGGCATTTAGGTCTCAGCTAAGCTTTTTGAGGTTTTTTGGGGGGCAAGTAGGAACAGCCCTTCCACATACATACAGTCCTTCCACACACAAACTCTTCTGGCTTTTGACTCTAACATCCACATAGTTCATTATCACTTATTATATATGTTAAAATAGCACCATGATCACTGTACAAGTTTAAAAAGACGTAGTCCCTGCTTGCTATTACCTGTAAGGAAGTGGTAGATACTGTTTAGAACCTAAAAACTAAAGAGGAAGAAAATGGTTATCTGCTAATGAATGACAGATTTTATACTTGAGTGCATTCATTCTAGCCTGAAAACCTTTGTCTTTTTAAATAAATTACCCTTTGTCTTATAGAGCAATTACTTCATCCTTCCTATCCTCTTAGTATCAAATTGCAAAATAAACAGTACTGTATAATACTGTATAATAATGCAGTACCCTTTTTCTATAAGTGTGATAAAGCCCTCTAAAGGATGCACCTCAGCAGGAACGAAATTAGGGAATAGGCTATGCACATTAAATAGAGGTAAACTGAGTCCATCTTCTTCAGTTCAGCTTTAAATGTTGGGTGTGTGGGGTCTTTAAAGACTACCATATACAACCTCCTCAGATCTGCCAACATTCACAGTAAGAAAAACAACAGCAGAGGCAGGAATAGTAACTAAGCAATAGTCATACTTCAGATTGTTCTCTGTAAAAATTCATGGGATTTGCACAGCTCTCCCATGCTGATGTGATCTGTATGTGACATACATGGATATCTATGAGCGAGTGATGTCATTTTCATCCACTGGAAGCTTATACCTGTTGCAGTCAGTGCTTTGTTCAACAAGGCTGGGAGACTGCTAATGTTAGATTAAGTTCTTCTTTCTTCATTCAGCAATTAACCAGATTGCTGCTGTGTCTGATTTAATTTTATAATCCTCAGAGAGTTTAAAGAGCTGCTGTCTGAAGCACCTGCTTCTGAAATATTTGTCTATTTTTTGTCTTTTTTTTTTTTTTTCCTTTTGCAGTACCATGGTTCTCCATGCTCCTGATATTCTTCTATTTTCCTTCAGAGGCAAAAGTTACAGTGATCCTGACGCAGTTTGGGCACAGCCACAAATAATCTGTTTGTCCTTCCTCTCTTGTCTCAGAGTTAGAAAAACGTCCTTGTGCACAGTTCTGTTATTTCAGTGGATGAATCCAGTTCACCCATCATGTTAGGCAGTCAGAAAAAAGAAAAAAAAAGAAAAAAAAACCTAACAACTCAAACAAAAGAATTTGTCTAAATCCCAAACAGGCATCTTTGGAATCAGTAGTGCAAAATGTTTGCGGATTTCTTTTCTTTGACCTACTGCAGTAATCTCTTAATCTTCAAGTCTTTCCTAAAATAGTGGATCTGTAAATTTAAAACATAAGAACAATGAATAAATAGAAATTATAAAGTGTGTTGGTTTTTTGTTTCCTTTTGTTTTTACATCACTGTCTTCAGATTCTCATTTATACCAAACCATGTTACATCTCTTAGAAGAGACACAGACTGTAGGAGGATTCCATTAAACTTGGAGACCTCTACTGCATGGCTACAGCACTGCAGAAATGCACAAGTGGAGAACAACGTCCTTTAAGTGGTGGATAATTTGAGATTAAGATTAGGTTTTATCAGGGCAGCTCCAGCTCTGTAAATTAATGGAAAAGACCTCCATCAGAGGTCACATTTGCAATGCCAGCACTTTACAGGCTCTGCCTATCCATGCAGCATTTTGAAAGTACTTTAGAATTGAGCCGATAAAATGAGAGGTTACCTCAAGGATTTCCATCTGTCTTTTTCTGTCTGGTTTTCCGGACTTTCACTTTCATAAGAAGCCAGATATAAACCTGGAAAAGGTAAAGATATGTTGTTTAACAGGAACAGTAAATCCCTATGTCTCTGCATTCATGTATGTCCTATCTTGTAACACAAAGTGAGGACAGCTTGTTATACGTTCGTGGCTCACCACACTGCTGGCAATCAGCAGGACGCTGCTGCTTAGTTCACTTTTCTATCTTTGGAAATCTGTTAGGTTAATTTTGATGGAAGAGGAGCCCAGAGTTAAAATATGCTAGCATGACCTGCTTACAATAATATCAAACAGTTAAATGATCTCCATTAAAAAATGAGGGAGTTGATATTGTGGCAAATAAACTTTTTACATTTAAGTCTATTCCCATCGCTTAACACAACTTAATCTTTCTCAAGCTCTTTAAGGCCTAAGGGGACATGGTATCTTAAATGAATACAAAACAGCCTCAAGATAAGAATGAGTTACAGAAACCAGAGACGGAACACAGTAGAAGAAAATAAACGGTCTTCTTTTCTGCAAAACTTTGCCATGAGGGTGAATTCTATGGTGCTAACATGCACCTAGGCTGTACAGCTTCCTTTACTCAGGCTGGTGGTGCATTGATATCTCACTGTTTAAAAAATAAAAATAAAAAAATTAAGTGGGCTATAACTTGCATGCATATGTATTTCCTCATTTGACTGCTCAGTGATGCTTAATTCTTTAATACTGGAACCATCTCAGTATTGAAGTCTGTGCTATAATTCAAGCCCATTTTAATATTAAATTGTTGAGCCGCTGCTCCTACATGCTGTGATGGACCTACAGATGTACAGCAGTATGTCACATATGTCACATACCAGTGCAGCATCTGTCTAATACATTCTCCTGTCTTTTACTCAGGGTGATTCTGCTCACCACAATCCCCATGGCTAGCAGGGGAGGTCTGCTCTGGCTTCTACAAAGGGCATCTACCAAAACCAGCATGAATATGGCAGAGAATATGAGAAAGAAAATATGAAAACAATTAGTGGGTTGAGGTCACCCTTTCTTGGTTCACCAGCCTGAAATCTGCACTTTTAAACACCACTTGTGACTTGACTTTCACTTCATGTCTCTTCAGAGCCTAAATACAGAACAAATGCCTCCTTCCAATACATATTACTTTAATCACATTCATTATCCCATTTTGGCAGCTGTTTCTCTTAGTCTTTAGGTAGGATTTTTGAGGCAGCATTTAGTGTTCTGTAGTAGTCTCTGAAAAGCTGTCTGGTGTGATTAACTTGGATCAGTATAGAAAACTGTCTAAAGAATCAAGGAAAAATAAACCCAACACCAGTACGGCCTATGGGAACATAGCTGTAGACAGTTTCTGTGCACATCAACATACCAAGAAGTAACCAACATGAAACAGTATGAAATGGCACAGCCCGTTGTGCTGGGCAGCAGATTGAAAGAAGAAAAGAGAAGACACACAGAACTAAAAGTTAAATCAGAAAAACGATTTCAAAACAGCTTTTTCATAGCTGCAGCTTAAGTTAATTACTAGAAAATATTTTTCTTAAATTTTTTTTTCTGTAAATATTTTTCTGCTGCAGTGAAGGTCAGCTGAATGACCACAGCCTGCAGCTGTGTTCACTGAATAATGACAGTGTTGGTTTGCAGAAGAGATGAGTCCTGGCTCCATCAATCACTGCATGAATTTGGCTGAGGGACAGCTGACATTCAGAGCAACCCACAACATGGTTCTGTGGCCTCTTCTCTTCATTTCAAAAACAGAGCTTCCACGACAACTTCCTAGATAGCAGTGCCTTTTGGACAAGCTATGGAGTAGAGAAAAGTAATCAGACTTAAGGCAGCTTCATGAGGTAGAAGGCTTTATCTGCAAAAGCATGTTGATGGTCTGGGGATAATAAGCAAGCTGCATGACAGGAAAGCTAGGAAGGAAATGGGACTGGTCAGTGAGAGAGATCACCCGAGATGGGTCAAGATGTTAATTGGTAGTGATAAGGAGACATTTTTTCAGTGATTAGAGATTGTACAGTCTTACCATCTTCAGTAAAAATGGGAGCAGTGTGCAGGTAGTGGATTATGTTAGCATCTTGTTCAAAGGGACATTCCACTTGCTTCCATGTTATAAATTCTCCTACTTGCTTAGCCAGTTCCAGAAATTTCTGTAAACATAAACCCATTCCATTCAGATACAGTTCCAATATCTCACTTAAACAACATCATCCAAGCAGCAAATCAGGACGTAGGGTCCCTGACCACAAGGACATTAGAGAGAAAGGAGTCTCGGATCCTTTAGATGGGTGGATTTTCACTGCTCATTTGCTGGGGAAAGAGGGAGGAAAGGGTGTGCTCCACTCCTTCTTGCAAGCAGTCTCAGTTTGTCTTTAAGTGAAAATGTATCCATGAACAAAGCTATGGGCATAAACTTTGAGGGACCAGAATTAGATAGTTACCTAAGGTGGAGTGACTCCAATTCCTCACAAATCTTTAGGCCTTCTAACAGTAAATAGACATGGAAAAAAGTTCTGATATAACTTGAGGGGATGCCAGGCTCTATCTTACGCATTACTCACTATCTCACAGTGGCCCCAGCAGAAGGACAAATGTAATGCAACTGACCAAAGAGATGCTGAAGAGCTGATTTACAAAGAATCTGAGTGCCAAAGAACTGTTTTCTCATTGACATGGGGCAGCTCTTTTGAAAGCACTTCATCTCTATCCCCATCAGAATGCAAGCACACAGCAGCTGCAGTGCACAGCACAACTTAAGAATGTGAGTGCCTACACACAGCCACGAGCAACAAATTGCATGACTGTAAAACCAGCCTCCCCAGCACAGAACTGCAACCACTCAGGATATGTAGCCACCCAGTGCCAGGGCTGTGGGAGAGTACTCTGCTTTAGTTGATAGACATTATTCTGTGTAAAACTTAGAGCAAGAGATAATTCCAGTCCTTACATCAACAGCATGACAGAATGCACTGTCTGTAATTCTGCTTCTGTATTCTAATTTTTATCTACTGACCACAATCAATTTATGTCTCACTTTGCCAAGTCTTTTTATTATAAAAGTAAAGTGAATTAGAAAACAAATAAAATGGATTATAAAACATTTTACACTGATTTGTTTACATGTGCACCTTTTTCCTTGTTTTCTGAAAATCATCCTCCCCTCCAAGCCATAAATACAATCATGCATATTACTGACATTGTATTTCCAGCAGCCAACCCACATGAAGCAAGTCAGAATGGTCTGTTTGCAATGTTTATATAAAACGTATACATTATTTCTTTCAGAAAACATTCTGAAATTGGTTTAACCTTCAAGCACTCACTTGAGATTGTCCCTTTTGGCATATTCAGCCTTTGTTGGGCTGCACTGAAATTGCAGGCAAACAATCTTAGATAGCGCTATCAGAATGAGATAAAAACATTTTCCAGATCTTACTTCAAAGTTGACATGTCCATTTGGAAGGCGATTAGCACATCCTTCATTCAAAAAATAAATGTCTTTGATCAATAGGCTGAAGAAGGGGATCACAATCTGTGAAGAGAAATAGCATGACTATTATCTTTCCAGTTCAGTATTTCCTCTGCATGAAAGAAGAAGTCAGGAGAGAAGAGCAAAAATAAGTATTTACTTTTCACTGTTTTGGGAACTTAAAAAGCAGTAGAGTGAGAGGCAAGCAAAAGGGCAGCAGGATAAAGGGACACCCTCAGCCATCAGGAGAACAAACACTGAAAGGAGCATGAACTGAAACCAAGGGTCACTGAGCAGACTGCCATGACTACGAGAATACTGATAATTCAGTTTATTAACTTTCTGTACATCCACAGCATCATTGTCTGATTACAAGATCAGACAGCAAACAACAACAACAAAAAAAGCTACGCAACCCTTCCTTTCTCTGCTGGGTCTTTACAAGCAAAGCTGTTGCATACACAAATCGAGCAACTTAAAGGCAGCTGAGAATCAAAGAACCACTGCTGTCTCCGAACAAGGAAAATGATCTCATAAAGTCAAAATATACTCATGGAAAGCTGGAGCCAGCCCTGATCCCCAGCTAGAAATTACTGCCAGGTTCTATGTATTTTTTTTTTGCAGGCAGATATAAGCTTGTTCTGCCCTGCTCTGCACCACCTGGGGGCTGGGTCACTGGAACATAAACTAAGAGCCTTGCTGGGAAGGAAGGTATATTAATGTGGGCTATGTGCCATGCTAATACAGCTACAAAGCCACCAGCCAGCTCAGAGCGTGGGCAGAGCTTGTTCTCATCTGCATCCAAAAGGAAGCAAAGACATTCCCTAGAATACCAATTCTCCACACATTTCCAGGGGATTTCTGTCTTTGGGTCAGTATTTATTGCCCTAATAAAAATACGTTGCCCTGCATGCTTTGTTTTCCAAGTTTCTGTAGTAAAAGCAACAAAAGTGGATATAGTTACAGTTCAGCGTTGGCTTCAATCCAGGCTCTTCGCTGGCATAAAATCTGGGTTAGTGCCAGAAACTCAGATTTCACTCCCTTTTGATTCTCCCCAAACCATCCAACCCACCCACATGCTGAAGGACAATTGCCTCCTGCAGAAAGAAGAAAGCTAATGAGCTCAGACATGTTCTTCCTCCAAAGTATCACATGGCAACGACACACAGCACTGCACTGTGCATCCTCCCAACGTTTCAAAGCCAATCAGAGCAATGTGCAGGGTGTCCCAGTGGAATGACTTAATTTTGGATTTGGCAGAGGTCAGCTGACTGCATAGATAAAACCAGACAGTTCCTAACAAGCATACCAAATTTTGCATGAAATGTCCTCCCTCCTTCATTGCCTGTTCTCTCACCCTAAACTTTGTTGGGAAGAGGGGCAGAGGGGACTGGGATCTCAAACTGTTATAAGGACAAGTCAATTTGAAGACAAATATTTTCTTCAATGAAGGAGCTTTGCTGCAAGTTTGCCACAAAACAAACATTTTCTATTAAAAAAAGGATCATGTTTCTTTAATTTTATTCAAAGTCAATAAAATAAATAATGAATAAGCTGGCTTATAATAGGCAACAAAATTCCTCAATTCCTACAGCATGAGTTACAAGATCTGCTGTCTCCATAAGATGCTCAGCATGACCAACTACCAAGTCAAATGCTTGAGCACTTTCTTGAACTAATTTTATGTTCATAAGGTAAACAGAATATGTTTTTTTTCCTATGTAAAATAGATTCCTTTCAATTTAATAATCTCTCCACTCTCCCTTAACCAGCTAGAGCTAGAGATATGTCAGAGATTGCAAACATCCACAGGAAATTAAAAACAGAGCTGCTGACTTCAATATATATGATGGCTGCAGAAGAATTAAACTGCAGAAAGATCTCAGACTGATAGGTCCTTGCTGCACTGTGTGTGAGTTAAAAGGGTTTCTCCACTGCTAAAGAACATCCAAAGCCATCGTCTCTTCTTGAGATGTGCTTTTCAGAACAACTCAGCACACTCCCTTTGCAGCTGAGTCAGCCTGCGACCAGCTGCTGATCTCATTTCACTGTAACTGCTGTGAGATTCCATTAGCTTCAGCAGATTTACATCAAATTTACAGGGATGTGAGATCAGCATTTGCTCTCGCTCCTCTAGTGGGAGAACATTTAATTCTGTCTTACGTTCGTTCATGCAGTATCTACCTTAGCCACCTTGTGTAGAGATCACCCAGTTATGACTGTGCAGTGTTAAAAACAAACTCTCTTTCACAAAACAAAATAAGGGAAAAGAATGGAGAAATAAGAAAATGAACAAGAAATATGCAGGCACAAAACAGTAGGATGCTGCACTAACATCTCATGAATCTGATCAGAACACTGTGTATCTGCCACAGACAGTGGTGATTCAATTCTTGCTCAGCAGGATGGGAACAAATGAAATGAAAACGCAACAGGACAGACTTTCACCCCAAATTTGCTGCAATGGGTTCAGACCACACTCTTTTGCATGACTTGCAGTAAATCATTTTTCTCGAATGTAAGTGGAGAACCACCTCATCACCTCTGAGTGCTGTGCCCTTTGCTCTGTATCTCAAATCACAGACTGTACAATAAGGGCTTGTCTGCACAGAGAAGCTGCCTGGCATGGCTGCAACAAAACAAAGCTCCTCCTGGGCCTGCCAGGCTGATGCTCCATGCCAAAAAAAAAGTCATTTTAGTCTGGAATACCTTTTCCTCTAGTTATCAATCTAAACAAGGTGAATTTTCAAGAGGCACAGAGATGCTTGCAACAAAGTCATCCATTCTACGTGCTCTGCCTGCCCTAGCATCCTGACGGCAACTTCACAAAAGCCCTGTGATCCATTTCAAACCCCTTTCAGCTGCAGATTTACATTTCCAGTTGCATTTAGCAGTGCACAAGCCTTGCACTGGCATCCCATGGAAAAGGGGACAGCAACGCATTGAGTGTTTCAGTCATGTTCTCGGTAGAGATGCACACCACTGATTTGGAGGTACACGAGATGTGCTCACACCTACCTTCTCCCTGTTGCTGTGTGCAGTGAGGGACCTGTGAGCAGCCCCCCTCAATGCCGTTCTGTAGTTATAGAAGTTACCAGTGGGGTCCATCTGGTGCTAGATATACAAAAGACAACACATTGGTTAGAAAGCAGCCTGAGTCCTCTGAAGACAGCTTTGCCCTTAGTTGTACCAAAACTTGAACAGAGCCAAGCCTGCATCTTCACAAATACACACAGAAGCCCATGAACCATGAGCAAAAACAATAATGGCATCAGCTTGAGAACTGTTGCTTGTATAACAGCCCATCCTCACCAAGCCACTCATCACTTCCTTTTAGTTTTCAAATATCTTTTTGCATGTAACGTTCAAGTGCTCTGCTACCCCTCTAACACCAGCAGCTTCATACTTTCTTCACTGTCCTTCAGCAGCTTCAGCCAGAATCCAAACCTCTGCCTGTGAAATGTGTCTATAAACATCTCATACCTGGATAACAACGTGGAAATTCACAAAAATACACACATAAATAAATAAATAATTCACGCAGCATGTCTTTATTTATGTACTTACTTCAAGAATGAAAAATTTGGCTGTTTTTACTTTTGACCAAGTCTTCTTTAACCGGGAAACAGGACTCATGTTCATTCCAGCTATGAGGGAAAAAGAAGAAAAAAAAAAAAAGCCACAGATGAGACTCAGACTTCCCCTTTTCCTTTTGCTACAGCCAGTGGAGACATCTGGTTAGGAGCTGTACTCACAAATGATTGCCATCAGTGAATTAAAATTCCCTATGTTAAAGCACTCTCGGGCGACATCAATGAAGAATTCAATGACTTGTGCTCGCTGTTTCTTTTTTGCAGGCTGGAAATTAAAACAAACATTTGTAATGAGCATACACAGAACTGGAGGGCAGAGCAGGCCGAGTGATACCTTGTGTTCTAAATCCACATTTTAACTGGACTGGAATCACCCCACCTTCCCAAAGAAGATCTTCAGATGGCAGTGCTTTCCAATCACAAGCTATGTAGGATATCCCATTACTATTCCTCCCTTCAAAGGAGAAAACATTCACTTCATTTTGATGGGGCCAACTGAACTAAACCCAAGTCTACCAAGTTTAAAAGCACAACAAACACAGCCCCAGTAATGGGCAGCAGGACAAAGAGCTATGCAATGGGAATTTACATGCACAGCAGAGCTTCAGGATGACAGATAACAAATACTGCTCCACCTGAATCTTTTCCAGCAGAAATCTCACAGGATAATTCAAGGCACTTTTTCCTCTTTTTCTCCCTGCAGGGTTCATTATTCCACACTGTGCTCCTACTACATCAATAGAGCAGTGTACCCCTGTGTGTTGCCAGCTCTGTTTTGTAATATGTTTGTCATTTATCAGCTTGCTCCCATGAATGCAGCATTACTAAAACTTACTGTCAGATGCTCAGCTAGGTCATAAGAAATAAATCCCCAGGTTTGCTTATTAGTGTACCACCTCAAACTGGTACTGCAAGTGTGTGTAAAACGAGCTGCATGCTTCCCACTTACCATGCAAATTTCTGTTGCTACGAGGTAGCAGAGCCTATTGAACCATTTCACATAGGCCTCAAGGTTACTGGTCTTCTGGTCACTGAAACAAGGCTGGGGAGAAAAAACACACAAAGACATGTAACTGCAGTTCAGTCAGCTGCCTGATGGCAAAATATCCATTACACGAAGGTAATCATTTGGCCACATCTCTCTCACATACAGAGAAAACCGTGCCTTAGCACAAGAAAAAAGCAAAAGAAAAAAATAGTTCTACTTGCTTCTCTATGGGAAAAAAATATTTCCCTTTACTCTCCTGAGTATTCAGGAGAATAGGTTGTTCAGTGCCCCAGCTCTGTCCTGCTGGCTGCACTGGAACAGGCTGCTTACACACAAGGGAGACTTCACCAGTAAGAGTCACTGCAAAGAAACACATTTCTTACTTCTTACACGAAACTTCACATAAATTCCCTCAGCTGACAGAGGTGGTGGGAGCAGATACTTGGCTGAACTCCTTCAGTCACTTTGATATCCACAGGCACTCTGACTTCAGCAGAGTGACAGGGTAGTTCACACAGCCTGAAGACACTGGTGGGCACTGTAAGAACTCAACTCCTTTCTCCAGCCCTAAACTCTGAGACCCTCCATCTAGGGACACCCTGCTCCCCCACGGTTCATTTCATTTATGTGAACATTCAGCAGCATCCACTAGAGGGTATCAGAGAATACCAAATTTTTGTACTGTTCTGATGATCATCTCCCAGAGCTGCCAGAAATACACTCTGCTAAGAAAAAAACCACAATGCATAAACACAGACCCACAGATGTCAATGAAATTACGCATAATATGTCAGCTAGGTGCCTAAAACCTGGGTCTTAATGTTACAGTAAGTTACCTTACATTAAGATTCTTCGGATTAAGATCATTCAAAGGAAACACATCCCTGCAATTCTGTGTGCAGGCTCATTTAGAAAAAGAAATCATAGTATTATGGTATTAGGCCACCAATCTGAAGCCTAATGTTCCTAGCCATTTTATGGAAAGACTATCTATACAATAAACAAATAAATCAAGGCATCTCAAAAGTAAACATTGGCAAGCAACATGTGAATGTCAAACTAAAAGAAATTCCAACGCAGCCCCACTCTACCCATAGCAGTTACTTTTCTTACACTCTGTGGTATTTTCTGCCCCCTGCTACCGCAGAAAGAGTACAGAAAACCTTGGTTTTGTTGTGAACATGGTATTTCCATCACAGCACTGCTGTTCCATGCCACGGCATAAGAACCACAGCTAATGCCACCAAACTTGGTTAAAACGTGCACATTTAATGTTGAAACAGATTGCCTTTTAAAGGTTAAGCTTTATAAATGGCAACAGCATTTAGCACCTCCCTAGCATCTTCCATCAGCAGCTCTCAAAGTGCTCGATAAACATTCACAAACGAAACCTTTTGAAGCCTTCATGCAAGAATGATATTCAAAATGATCTCCACCTGGAGGTAATGTAGACCAGAGCCAAAGCCCAGTGATTAACGTGGTGTTTACCATGGGCCAGGCAGGTACCTGTCACTCCACGTGAGGTGTGTGCTGCTGTGCACAACGCTCTGCCAGGTCCCACACAATCTCTCAGCTGTAACACACCAAGGCACGGAGGATCTTCCAAGTCATCGCTGGAACCTCTTCTCAGCCCAGGAAGAGGGTGCTGACAAGTTGCAGACTACCCCTGCTTTCACCAGCTTGTTGACCTGAAGCCCACTAATTCTTTAGTGTCATATCTTGTGTGAAAACACTAAGGCATTTTTTTTTTGTACTCAGTAGAGCCTATTTGAAGGAAGACATGCTTTGAACTTAGAAGTCAACGCAGTGATGCATCCTTGCTTTGATATTTGCTCTCCACCTCCCACTCAAATCCTTCCTGTCCACCTTAGCAGATGTTTCTTCATGTTTCTCTTCATATCTTGGTATTATTCCGTTCTGCCAATACATTTGAAATTCCAAATTCTGCACAGAGCTACAGCCATTGTGCCTGCTTCAGCTTATTACTGAACATTTCCCTCTTAGCATCCGTTTCCCTGCGTGGCTTTACGTAGTTTGACTTCATTCACTGCTGCCTGCCTCCTATTCTTCCAAAATTTACTCAGATTCAGAGCCTCCATTTGATCCCTTTCATTTTACTTCATAACAGAGATGATGACTTCCTGTGACACTTCATTTTCAATCTCGTCCCTCACGCTCACAGCAGGTTACTGAAATCTCAGCTCTGGCTGCCCTGGTGTTTCATGTTTCTGACACATCTTTGTCACACAGGGGTTCTTTCCTAAAGGATGTGATCAATGTTCACAACACCTGAGACACCACCTCTGCCCATTCCTCTCTCCCTGAAACGAACTGCAGAATCTCTGTAACTCCAATACAAGAAGGAGAAAGCTTAAGACTGCACATTTTGTCTGCCCACACATCCCTCCCTTCACCATTACAAGTTACTTTGGTGCTCTTTGGAAAACGTTTTAGCAAGAAGTCTTCCTCTATCTAATGATGCAATTTTGCCATTGATATATGATCTCAGTGGGAGCCCTTTTGTGGTTCTGGGGAAGAATTTTCCATCCTCTTTCTTTTCTTGTCAGCATATGAAATACCAGACTCTTGCTCTCCAGCTGGAATTCTCTTTTCTCACTGAAGCACTCATTGAAATGCTGCTTCAAACCCCACTGGAACTCATGGAAAGACTCCAACTGGCTTCCAAGAACTCTGGAGGAAACCCTGATCAGGCACTTCGTTCCCTGCAGTGCTCCGGGTTAAAAGCTATTGTATGTAGAGAGAAGAAAATGTTGATTCATGACGCACTGACTCAGTACTGCGGTGTCTGGGCACACGCTGTGGCCATTACATCATGTCCAGAGTCCTTATGCCTTTAACACTAGGAACAGACATTTCCAGGTTCTACGCAGCTACAAGCTATGTGCCCTGGCCAAAACAGGTGAAGAAGAGCCAAAGGCCAGAACTTCATTGTGTAGGCCAGTCTCTGGCTGGGACACATCCTCACCATGAAGGAATGGCAATGACTCGCCAGCTAGAGCTCCACCAACAGGTCCATCCTTGCTGTGAGACTGCAGCTCTGCTAGCTGGCTTGCCTGGTGATGTCCCAGGCTTGCTCTTATGGATTACATCAGTTATTGTAGGAAATATTTCATATGTGGACAGAACATACCTTGGTGCCATCCAGAGGATCCTTGTGTACAAATGCCTGCACAAACTCCTCAGGTCCAATGTGACTTAGCCTCTCCTATTAGAGGGACAAAAAAGAGACAGGAAGAAATGAGAAAGCACTCCACAATGTCTGTTGTTTCTCTTCATAAAACATTCCCATTTCTTTAAGTTCTGAATGGTGTTGTTGAACTTGCAGACAGCCAACTAGCATGAGATGTTAACACTGATAAGAACAATTAGAGTTATTTCAGTAGAAAGTAGAAAGCGTACATCTTGTCACTGAGAAATCACAGCAAGAGCTCTCTTCAGTGCTCAGACAGAAAGGTGCTGATGCTTGAGGCCTCATCTGGGAGCTGCAAGACCTCAGTTCTGTGCCTGGAGCTGCCACAGACCTACTGCTACCCAGCATTTCTCAATGGCTGTGTTTCCCACTTGTTCAAATGGCAGAAATGCTGAGCTCTGGTAACCATAGCAATTCGTTGGCAGCTGCGCAGTGCTCTGACCCTGCCTCCCTACCAGCCAAGCTCAGGTGATGCCCTGGGGGGCTGGCTGTGTGCCACTGGGGAAGGCATGAGAGATGTGTGCGCTTAAATTACAGTCATTGCTCACACTGGAGAGCATCCCAGGCATTACACAAAACAAGAGTGAATAAAGCACCCAGATCTCTCTTAGTAAAGGACAATCCACCTCCACCAGATCCTGAACAAATGTGGCAATTTCAGAAAGCCCAGCAGCCACTGTTCGGGAAGGAGAGTGGTTTTATTCCTCTGCATCAGGACTAAAAGACCACAGTAGGCACTGTGGACTAAAAAAATACGCTGTCACTCATGATCCTGCCTCTATGGGAGCTCCCTTTGGCTCCCCAGAGGGCCCACCTTGCTGACACAAGTGGACATTGTTCTGTGGAAGGTTTATTCAGCACTGGCAATGACAGCCTTGGAGGAGCCAAGCAGCTGTCAGTGCTTCTGAAATGTGCTGTCAGGACAGGTGTGTCTGGGTGTTACAGCAGTGCATGCTGACTGCTAACAGAGCTTCACCACCACCAGTGGGAACTCAGCTATTTCTCTGAGATTTGGTATCTATCATATTGATTAACCTAAAAGGTACCGAGAAAAATATGTGAAGTAAGATTTGGTGTTTTACAGCAGTCACATTTAATTATAATAGCTGCCATTGAGCCTATTCAGCCTATGCCTTAATGAACTAGGCCTTCAGAGCTATGTTTTCAAATATGCTCCTTAACAACCTTTGACTTCTACTTCTGCCCATTAGCACAAGTCTATGGAAACAAGACAGAAGATCACTTACATTGTCTATAAAAGGAAGAATGTAGCAGCAGTGACTGAGCTGGAGATGGGCAACCCAGCCCACAACAGCACAACAGCCCAGGAGTCAGCAGATGGGGGCTGGTTTCCTTAAAACCCAAGGAAACCATTACTGTAAAGTCTCCAAAATGCTTTGGTATGAAAGCTAAGTCATTAAAACGATCCCCAGGTTACAAGATCTCAAAGGCAGTACTTTTAATGACACAGGAAACATGTCCCTTCTTACTTGACGTGCCCTTCAACACGCTTATTAGAAAAATATTTTCAGTAGGTTGTAGGTCACACAAAGTATTTCAGTAGAAATGCTTTGGAATTCATACAGCCTAGTTGTAGGACACTCAAGTAGCATTAAAATCAGTGGTAGTTTTGTGCAAGTGAAAATGTTAGGTCTGTTCTTGAGGTATTCCTCTTGCCTTCTCACCATACTGCTGGTACCTGTACAGAGCTCTTAAACACAAATGACTGTTATTAAATAAAGAAATACTTCTTGCTAACAGATAAGTATCTGACAGTTTCAGTGCAATGTATTTGGTGTACCAGATGCAGTAAGTGAAAGAGAAGGTAGGGAGCAATAATTAAAGTGGTATGAAAATCTTTGGGTGTATCAGTTTTAAAAGTGTAATCTGAATATAGGGAATCCTTGGAGAACACTTGTATTGTAGGGGAAAGGAAAAGCAATAAAAAAACTCCAGGCAAAAGGACTTGTACTTTCTGGCTTAAACTACATACAGCTAAGAGAGCCAAAGCTGCATGTTCTGAAAACTAACCAAGGTGAGAAGATGATCCAAAATTAGGGGGTTTCTGAGCTATCCCACTTCTTCACAAATACAATATGAGCTACTTTCAGAATCCCTACATTTAACTCCACAATATTCTCTCCAAACCACAATCCTTTTCACGGTTAATTTTTCCAGCCTTCCTCTCTAGAATGAACACTGTCCACAGGAGGATAGGCAGCAGAAAGCCGTTACCATATCTAAAGATCTGCAGATGGCAGCAATAACGTTTTGTGTTCTGCAAACATCCATGGAGGACCTGAACCTGGCAGAAAGGTGTGCAACACAACACTCTGGCAAAGATTTTGGTACTGCAACTGGTGCATTTACCATCCAGGGTCTGATGGAGAGTGGACTGCGGTCCAGGGAAGGAAACAGCAGGACTTTGTTTGGGAGTGGGGAGCTCTTCTGATATCTGCACACCCTTGTATGTTCATGCTCAAAGTAACAAGCTGAAGAAAGACAAACACTGAAGGCAGCTCAGATGCTTTACGTATCTGTGGGAATGGATCTGAGTTAAAATTTCTTCCCAATTAACAAATGGGCTAATGATCAGCCATTTCAATGGCATCTTCAGGTTTTATAGCTCAAAGCAAGTACCTTACTGAATCTTTATTCACCTTCCTGGAACAGAGACTCACATTTAAGGACAATGCAAGCTCAAAAGGTGAAGTGACATGCCCCAAAACGCACAGGAACACTCTGGTAATTTCTCACTTCCCGTGCATCTCTTAACCTTTCAGACCCTGCCTCATACTGCAGTGCTGATACAGCAGTGTGATGTGCTGCGGCAGCGCAGACGCTTTTTGGTTGTGTCTGGAATACTTAGCAGCTGATGGCTTAAAATAATATCTCTGACTGTGAAAGTTGGAAACCATGCCCACGTACCAGCTCCACATGTGTCAGCTGCTGAGCCAGAGTGTAAGGGTCACTGCAGACGCTCAGGATTTCTCTCTGAATTGATGGAGGTTTACTCTTAAAGGCAACCAGCTTATCAGAGACAGCAGCATTGATCTTGACAATCCCTTCTTGCCCATGGCTGAGGGTGGCGAGCTTCTGATTCAGGGTCTGCAAAAGCTGATTCATCTTTTTCCAGTAGGCCTGGAGAGACAGGGAGAGAAAGAAACGTAAACCACCCACAGAACTTGATGAAGGTATGTTTTCATGCTGCGTTTTACCTTCTGCAAAATACTCCTAAGCCAGCAACAGGTTATCATTTTATTTTCAACATGCCTATTTCAGAACAATCAGTTGGCTTAATTACAGTTCTGTGCTCCAGACCACAGAAACAGACTGCAGTCTAGAGAAGAGGCAAGCAGGACTGGTGGGCTGTGCTGGCACTGATACTCGCTTATTGCTGCCAACACCCAAGCTGCAGGGAGCAGAAGAGGTGGAATGCTACAACATGAGTTACTGCAGCTTTCTGGAGCAGAGCAGCATTTGGTACTCATCCTTTATGTCAGTGACACGGTGCCTGAGAGTTCTACCTGTTAACAGTTGCTAGTCAACTCTTATTTATTGAGAATAAGAAGTGTTTTTAAAGCTTTTCTCTCCGTCCTTCTTTCCTGAGAGCAGCTGAAGCACACTGTTACTTCTTACCCAGTTGGACTAGCTTTGAGTATTTAATATCCAAAATGTTAATTGCCAGTGAAAGACACTCATAAGATATTCCAGGCACAGCCATACGCTCAGCAGGTTGATCATTACTAAGTTGTGCAGGTTCCTCTCAGAGACGGAGCAGCTCTTCGCAGGAAAAGAGCAGAGCTGCTGGCCATGGAGGATGGGTAGATAAAAATGCTTTCAACTCCTCATGACTGACAGATGAAGACATTATAAAACTGAAAGAACTGGTGGATGGGCTCTGAAAACAAGGATTAATTGGAAAAGTCCTTGGGCTAAAACTTCACACGGAGCACAGGTGTACCGTACTGAGGTGTTGTGGGCTCTCCCAGCCAAAGAAGCATCAGGCGTGGGAACGACAGCTCAATTTCACAGAGCAGTCACTTGGGAAAACAGCTTCCAGGCTGGCCTACTATCAGCTCCAATCCCAGCACAAAGATACTCTGGCTGCTCACAAGTGGGATAACTCCTCACTCTCTATCTGAGCAGATTTCAGTAACATCACGTTGCCAGGAACATCTGTTTGTAATATGCCAGTGTGAAACCAGAGCCAGCACGGAGCCCTCTTCTGTTACATCTGTACTGTACAGCAGTTGTACACCCTGGTACTCTCTATGTAGTTCTTATCATCACATCAGGGACCTGGCTGGAGTTTGACATCTCATGAAGGCCAACACACACCTGAGTCACAGCCCAGGGCACACTTGGGAATGGTTTAGAAACAGCTTGTGTCTTCTCCAGGCTTTTCTAGGTGGTAGGTGGTCTTCAGTTTTAGCTGCTGAGGTCAGTGTTCTTGTACACATAGCATACCTCCTGCGTTCTGGAAGTAGTGAAGAATAACATGCCTCCATGAACCCTGTTTCCATTACAAGTCTGAGGCTGGGAAGCCTCGAAAAATTACAAGTGCTTCAGCATTTGATGCAGTGTTTTGCCATATTCATACAGCTCTTCCAACGGAAGTTTTCACATCACTGAGGTACCTTTCAGTTCACCCAAGAAGACATTCTTTTGAGCCAGGCTGGAGCACGGACCAGAGAAGCAGTATATTGTCAGGCTGTCTTGCAAAACAGAGACGTAAATAAAGCAATGACCCAGGAGGTAGGAGGGACTTGTCTTGGAGAACATCCACACAGGTCTCAAAATCATGGAGCATGAGTGAAAAATCAAGTGAGGAAGATGCATAAACAAATCACCAAAATAGTTTTTTAGAAAATAAAACCTGTTCTTTCAGTTCCTGATATGTACTGGCTCCAAGGAGAACAGACTGGTGGTCTTCATGCAATTCCTCATCTAAGCAGATGATCAGACTTTTGATTTACAAAGGCCATCCTGAACCCAAACTACTGAGTACCATCTAAATACTTCTCCAGTTTACATTCAGGTGTGTTTGTAAAACTCAGCACAGCTTATCAAGTTCTATGATTAGAATGCTATTTTTAGTGGAAACTCAAATAAGGAAATATTTCAGCATTCTCTGAACATATTTTGTAAACGTGGAAATTACTTTTACTAAAGTAGAAGCTTTCTGTGGTATATAAAGCATTTGGCTAAAGAACTTTCAGCAGAAAACCCAGTTCTCTTTCAGAAATGAGACTGGATAAGGAATCTTTGCCCACTAAATTCTTCACTGTTTGGGTGAAAAGCCAAAAAGCAGGACAGTTTGAAAGGCACTGATGTTTAGTGAATCTTTCAATAAATAGTCATCAAAAGATCTACTTTCATCTTGTTTCATTGGGAATATGGCACAAAAAGATAGATACAGACATAGACAACAGTAACCAAAGGTCTGAGTAAAACCCAAACAGGTAACAGAATGAAATGAGAGACAGATAATAGACACAATAAAAATAATTCATAGAATAGAGTTCTTGAGGAGACTCACCTAGAAACCCCACTGTATGTTGGGGGAGAAAAAATTAATCCTGCCTTTGCCCTTTTAAAAGCATTTCCTGCTTTCTTTAAATTATGTTCACTAATTGAAAACAATATTGTTCATTACCTTCAGTGTGCTGATAATTACCTTGCCACAAAGTGACCCCCCATTGTACAGGAGCTGCATGCTGGACTCTTATCATCTATTTCACTGCATTGCCACATTAACAGTCAAAAGAAGCATACTTCTGTTTAATATTAAAAGCAAATGTTTCATTCTTAACTGGGAAAGTTTCTCTGAAGATGGCAGGCATCAGCAGGTGGCTCAGGAGCTCAAATTTTAATTAAAATTTCTAACTCTAAATGCAAATCACAGCACTTACCAAGAAATGCTTCTCAGCATGGACACCTTTATAAGCACATCACAGAGCCTTTGGAAAGTGGACTCTACAAAGGACAGAAGCATACACTGCAGGGGAAAATCCTGCATTAACCTACATGGACTGGATGACCTCACAAATCTTTCAATCTTAAATTTCTATGATCCACCCTGGGAACAACTTTTTTCCAAATATCTAATGGGCATCACCACTCTTTCGTGCTGCTCCTTAAAAAAAGAAAAGAAATTTATATCTGCAGGATATGAGCTGTTCCTTAAATTAATTATTGATTTTGCTCAGGCGTAATCACTTGCAATTATGGGTCCTAGTAGTATTTGTAAAACAATGATTTGAAGCTAGTCCAGTCAGAGTTCCACCAGAGCACCCACTGAACATCAGTGTGTAGCTATGCACCTTCCAGAGCAAAGGTGTGCAGCGTTGGTCCAAGTTAGGCAAATAAAAGCCTGCTTTGCACACAGAAGACTGATCTAACCCATTCATGGCTCTTTTCCAGAGCAGCAACTTAACATGAAGCAGTTGCTTTTAAAAGGGTTTTCTCTGTTCCCATAAAGCCCCTGCTGACTGCCCTATGGGCTGCTTCCCTCTTTTCAGCATACAGGACTTGGGCAGGTCTATACAGATTTCTCTCACTTCAGATGCTGATGTCACTTTTTTGTGGTGGCTGGCTGAAGCAAGTTCATTGCCAGGGAGAGTTTCAACTGCTCTAATCAATGAAGCTGAGGTCACCGTGGCCTCTTCTGGCAGCCTTTTTTGTTTCCTCCACCTCCAGTGAAGCATCACACAACTTTCCCTTCCCATCCTCCATCCCTGCAGGCCAGTCAGCAGAGCCATGCCAGCCTCCAGCCACCCAGAGCTGCCTGCTGTGATGCCAGCCCAGCCCAAAAGCAGCTGTTCCCACTGCTCTCATGTTTTATGTGGGTAGGAGGGTTCAACTTCCTTTTCATTACATTGCAACTCTGCTAATTCCTTTTTTTGACTCTACGGGTGCTGTGCTTTTGTTATACTGAATTGCATACATCTGTGTCCTGAAGCCAGGCCTTGGGGTAGCCCATGGAACTGAGTTCCCATGGTTAACCCAGAAGTAATTAGAGACTCTCCATATGCTATTCGCTCTTATCCTTGTTATTTTCACGGACTTTGTGGTACTTTTAATGTTTCTGAATTAATCTATGGGTTTCACCCACCTGAGTTTACAAGCAGGTCTCCCAGATGTTCTGTTCCCATGTCCTGCTCTGCCACACACACAGCTCGATTATTTGAATAACAAGACCTACCATCTAAACTGAGTTTCTGCCCAGAGGGCCACACACTGCTGTCTTCTGCCACCTCTATGCTCCCAGAGAAGTTACATGACCATAAATGTGCATTTTTTTTTTTAAAGGTAAGAACACTCCCTTGCTATCTCACAGTATCAGCAAAACAGACTGGATTCAACAGAAGCTGTCTTGGCCCATAGATCACGTGGACTTTGATGGGTATCCCAGTGGCACCAGTCTGCCATTCTGTGTCTACCTGCCTTCTGTGTGGGTGCCAGCTTTACAACATCAACCAGCTCAAGCACAGCGTCTGTGAACTCTCTCACAAAGGCAGGAATGTGTAAACCAAACCCGTTTGATTCACTAATGAAAAAGATGACAAAATGCAAAGATTGTTTCAAAAATTACCAGACTGTAGACATGAAAGGTAACAAAATGGAAAAAAAACACCCCATGGTGATTCCACTTTTACAACCACTCATTTTCTTAGAGATAGAAAGCCTTGGTCAGATTCCTTCAAGCCAATAACAGTATTTTTTAGCCCCACAACATCACCTGATGACTGCCTGCTTCTTCCTCCCCTCACACACTATATCAAACACCCTGAAGTGCTCCCTAAGCCATTGCTTGTGTAGGGTAGATGCTCTCAAGTCATGACACTGCATTCTTCTTGTAGACTGTAACTTGGGAGAGCACACCACTGTTGCTGTTTGAATTCTAACCACGCTTTCGGTGCATGCTATGTCTCAGATCTTTTATCATTGAGATGGGAATAGTTTTCTTTTAGAAACAAAGGTGCAGTGATGAGTTCTGCTGATCACTGTGATGTGTCCCCATGTCACTACCACAAGAGAGACACGGTTTTCAGCAAAGCTACTGCAGGTTTTAACCATTACGGGAGAACAAAACTGATTTTACAGAGAAAGTGGAAAACATCAGGAGGAAAAGGAAGAACCAAGTGGGAAACTGAAGTTAATACTTTTACACGCTGCCCCACGTCAGACATCCTCACCTCATCACATGGGGCTATCCTGTGAATCATGTCTTTCAGATGGCCGATCATCCGCTCTTCCTGAAAGTCATACGGGAATGTTTCTGTCCACTCCGTCAGCAACTGTAAGATTTTGGGTCCAAATTTTCTGATCCGTGCCTGAAATGGAAACCAGAATAAAGCACAGGGATTGAAACGTGTTTACTCACTGAAGTTCCAGCATTTTTCTGAATGTGGGGCCAGGTTTTCAAAGAAGGCACAGTTGCACCTACAAAATCTGCACACATGCAAACAAATAGTGTAGTGCACAAATGACACATTTTGGCATGCAAAAATACCAGCATGTAGATGCATACACAGCTATCTGTTTTACATGCAGATTGAAGTATTCTGCACATGCAACTGGTCTGTTTGTGGCTGGCTGGACATTTTGTTGGTGCAACCTTTGTACCTTTTTTAAAAACAACAGGCTTTTCTGATGATTTGAACCATGTGTTCTTCCTTTTTGATCACAACCCTGCTTTACTTTCATCCACTTGTAAAAAAAAAAACCAACCAAAAACCTGACTGTAGTTTATTTCTTGACCAACAAAGTGGTGAGTCTTGCTTCTTTTCTGTCCGGATGGAAAAAAAACACCTCAGTGACCAGTGGCAGACGTAACAGGAGGAAGAACAGATGGACACACCAGCACTTCAGCAGCTTTACCCGAACCAGTGATAACACTGCTCTTCTCCAACACCAGCTTAAGGTCATGATAAGACAAGGACACTCACTCACGTAACACACAGCTGGTGCCCACTTTGCTTTTGGTGTGTTTTATCTGAGGATGCAGCAGCAAGAATAGTCAGGATGATACAGGGCAAGGGGGGAAATGTGGGGCACAGCACAACTGGTGCCTTAGTATTATCTCAACAGACAGCCAGTGGAGCTGCTTCCTCTGTTATCCAAGATGAAGGGAAAATGAAATTGCATTAAACGAGAAACTGCACTTTTATTTACAGAAAACACAGACCAAAACAAACAGCCTTCTTCTGCATCCTACGTACTGCAGCTAAAGTATACCCTATAATCAGCGAAAATTATACTTTTGAGTCTCTGCTTTTCAACCAAGGTGGTTGAAATGCGTATTTCAGCTTTCCACCAACAACAGGTTTCAATGAACCACATTTCTAAAAATAACTGCTGTCAGCTAGCATTAAGCTCACTCTCAAAGACCAGCAGGTGGCTGCTAAAGGGAAAGCTTTATTGGAAACTGCAACGGTCTGGGGAGACTTTTGCTCCAGCTGTACAAACTGCTATTCTGAACTGAAGGAGAGGACGTTGTGCAAGTCCCAGGACGTGGCTCAGGGGATGGGAGGTCACTTGTGTGCAAAGTTTGAGGTCAGGCCCACTCCCAGTGACATAAAATCAACTGTGTCCCACCACCTGCACATTATGCAGGGATGTCCAAAATGCAGATTCACTTCAGGCAGACTGGGAGTTCTGCATAATACTTCTAATTTCTTGAAGTGAGTAGCGAAACTTTGGAATAATCACATTTTCATTCTCCTAAATTTGCATCCTCGAGTGTCATCAGAGAACAGAATCCACCACACCTCAAAAAAAAATTGACTTGGATGCTGCACACAGATAGTTCTAACTCACACTGTACGTGCAGCCTACATGCCAGACTTCCGTGTTACCTGGCTGGTTGTACCATGTAGTGAAGGCAGAGATCCTGTTACTCATGCCAACAGTTCCCTGGGTGAAACAAGCACACATATTCAGATATTGGTAAAGGAGCATTTTGATGTCATTGTGTTTCCGTGCTGGGAAGGCTGATCCTGAAAATCATTCCAGAATTCTAGGTTCTTTTTTGGAAAATTGCAACCAGTGCACGTTCTTCTCCCTTCCACTGCACTCAAGATGCAGCTCCTGTTCCAGGTATTGTACTGGAGAGGTCTTCATCAATGCACTGAGGAGAGCAGAGGTGGAATCTGCCGCTCAATGGGATCCAGTGGCATCCATCTGCAATGCAGTGCCTGCAGGACTGCCAGAGGATACATGTCTGTTACCGTGCACAGTACCAGTCTGCACAGTCACTTGGGCAAAACAGGAGGAGCTGTGACACACTAACAGCTTGGATTTGCTCATTCTGTTAGCTTGTCATAGCCTCACTACTGCTTCAGCTTGTTCCTGGTGTGCCAGACAGCGCCGCTCTGCAGCACGGCCGTGCAGACAATCTGTCAGTGCTGGCAGTGAGGGATTAGTGGGAAGCTGCATGCTGTTATGTGGTGTTCACAGTGACAGGTAAGGCCAAGGGGAACTGCTACGTTCTGTACCAGAAGCAAGAAAGAGAAAGGGCAGGTGCATTAAATAAAATGGGGGAGAGAGCAGCGTGCTGACATCTGCAGCTGACAGTGTGTGAGGTTTACGTCCTACCTCCTTGCAACCTGCAGGCTTCATCAAAGCCTTAAAGAAGTTAAGAAGGAAAGTCACCTGGGAAGACTGAAATGGGGGAAAGGAAAATCAGAAGAAGATCTGAAGTGAGTGGTGCCTGGAGTGCTGCTCCTGGACATGGAAACTAAGATGCCTCAATGTCAAGATCTCAGCAACAACCATCATTATAAGAAAGTTTCATTCAATTCAAAAGGAGACAAAACCACACACTGGATCACCAGACTCTGCCTGTTGAAAATGATGAACTAACCTTGTCCAGCACAGGGTCGTCCAGCCGCTGCTGCTCAATGCACTTGTGACAAACTCGGGACAAAAGCTCGTGGGGTTCAATGAAGAGTCTGGAACTCAGCAGGAATGTAAAGATATAGGCTTTCTGTGGGAGAGAAACAAGAAGACCTACTATAAACCATATACTCTGTGGTTGTATTTCCACTGGAACAGATAGGACAGATCTGAGTGTCCAAAAGGCAGAAGGATTCCTGGCCCTTAAAATGGAACTGGTTAAGGTGAGTGCAGGAAGCAGCAGCATCTCCTAACAAATCTCCTCCATAACAAAGATGGCCCAGGTACTGGAGACAGCACCACCAGCAATGAACAGAGACCAGTGAATACTCAATGTGTAGACTGAGGGCATCTCTTTGCTGTACTGGGTTGTGAGCTCAGAAACCCTGGAGTCAATCACATCTCGTTTCTGCCCTGAAGTCTCACCCTGCCTCCATAAGGGAACACTGTGTTTATTCTGCTAGTCCTCAACATTTCTACCAGCCTAACTATGCCACATGCAGCCTTCCACCTCAAAGCTGAGGGGAGAGCAGGCCTGTTGGATAAATCCTTGGACTATTTAAAGTATTCCTGCAGTGAAATTAAAATACATGCATGAATCTTCAGAAATCTGCTCCCCATCCCCTCCTGGTGCCTGGATTATCTTCCTTCCCCCAGACCTAGCCATGCTCCTGAGCAGCGGATGTAATATTTCATATCACACATTGCTTAATGAAAATCTCACAGCCTAATCTGCCCATTACCTATTTTATTGCCTTTCTGTTCTCGTATAATTAACATGCTTCTTTATTACTTATTTTTAGCTGATCAGAAATTGAGCTGTGGGTAATTTAAAACATGCTGTCTGCTCTGCATTGATAACTTTAGTAGACCTCTAAACTGCCTAGAAGTCAATGCTACTCTGGTGCTTTGAGATACAAGCCTTTCCATGGAGACATATTAGCACTTGAAAGTCTTCCAGTAAAACTCTGTTCTGAATTCTGAATACGTGCAGAATCCGGTGAAGTCAATGGCTTTCAGGACCATAAACCTGCTTCCACTATGGATCCTCGCATCAGTGGTGAAGAAACACTGAGTATTCACTGATGGACTGAGGATTGGGATCTGCGTCCTGTTGTCCAGTGACTGCAAAGTCACTGTGAGCATGAGCATAACCCTGTGTACCTTATGAAGCCATCAGATGCATTTCTGTTGTCACTGAGGAAATGCTTTGTATCTGCAGTGACACCTGGTCAACTTGAACAGCTACTGAAATTCAACTGAATGCCCGTTCAGACTTGATTTTTTTTTGCTTCAGCCTTCATCTAACCCTCCCTGGGATGCTCTGCTACTTCTGAAGTTCTCTTGACAAATCGCTATTTCACCCTCACTATGGTTTTTTTTTCTTCCCACTCTGTTCTCTTATTTAAAGGTAGCAACAACTTTGGGATCTACTTTTTCAAGGAAACAAACCCAGAATGGTGAAACAGCGTTTAAAGCAGTGCAGTCATTTACCCAGCTTTTAAATTACTCCTCTTAATTCAAAATCAAACAAATCTGCACTTTTTTGCATAAAGCACTATCTCAATTCATCAAAATTAAACTGTTTATTATACTGTGAATTGCTTACCTCAGGGTAGTAATCAGTGGTAGGTATGAGATGCTGGATTAGAGCATCCAGAGATGCTGAGGTAAGGTTTCCATCCTGGAAGATAAGCCCTCCTTGTTCATCTTCTTTAGAAGTATGTAGATGAGGACTGAAGCTACATGGGGTAAACATACTGGTAGGACTCAGCGTTTGGGGCATACCTTCCTGCAACACAGAGAAGCTCACGTCAGGCAAAGATCCATCAGATTCATAGCCACAGCTGTATTCTGGTTGTTTGGAAAATCAGAAGCCACTAATGAGAGTTTACTGTTTGCAAAGTTAACGTTATCCCTTCATTACATCTTCTTTTAGAGTTGTCATTAGTGGATTAGACCTGTGGTGGGCAATACAGAGGAAAATGGGCCATTTTGGTTTATACCTATGGTATAAAGATGAAGAAGATGATGGTAGCTGCTTTGGGCTCCCACTCCAGTCAAGAGCTCTATGCCAACTCCTCTTTCTGCCACCAGCCCCACACAAGAGAGATGGGGCACTTGGGAGGTTCTCAAGGAGAGCAGAGCTGAGCTTCTGCTTCAATCCTCTGCCCTTCTGAGAATGGGGCAGGGAGGATATAGGGGGAGAGAGGGAGAGAAAAGGGGTGCGACCCCAGGAGAGCCATCTTTGTGGGCGAGGGGCACAGCAGGAGCAGATGTCAAATGGAGGAGGATGGAAAAATGGAAAGAGTTGGAGGGAGCAGAGAATGTGTGATCTGATCAAGAGATTAAAGGGCAAAGGAAAGAGAAATGAGGAAAAGGGAGAAGGCAGACACCTACACTGTTTTTGGAGCCTGAATTTAGTCAGTCCTAGATCTATACTTAGGTACTAAATACACGCTTCAGAAAGATCCTGAGCACTCATCGACTTCACAAAAGCTGCAGAGTCCCCAATACCTTTGGAAAGGAGGCAGGGCAAGCTCTGAGCACGCAGCCCGCTTCAAGCTTGCCATATTTCAGTTGCTCAGCTTCTATTCTAGGCTGTATCTCAGTTTTGTGGCTTACAATCAGCTTTAGGTGTTTCCTCTGTTGAGCAAAGCTGTTTATTTTTTTGTTTGTTTGTTTTTGTTTTTTGTTTTTTTGAGATGGTGAGGAAGGAGCACAGATCTTACCCTGAAGGTTTGAAAGCATCTCCAGTTGTCTCCAAAATGCCCCCTAAGAAACTGCTCTGCTCAAATAGAGGCTGGGTGTGGGACAGGGACTGGGGAAAGGACAGTGCACACGCACTCCCAGGTCAGCAAATGCATCATCCAGAACTTTGTGTCTTTAACACACACGGCCTCTGAAGCCTAACAATTTGCTTGGGCCCTGAGGAGAAGGGGCTGCAAGCCAGGCAGGGTGAGAAACTCTGGGAGACACTGGAAGCTTCACAGTGCTGTGGGAAATTGGGCTGTATGGGCAAAACTCATGACTTCATCCTCCCAAGGAGCATCTTCTGCAGGCTGGGAGCACGGGCTGCCTCCGAGCTCTGCAACTGTGCAAACAGGAACCAAAAATGTCAAAACCAACCAATTCCTGCCTTGACTGAAAGGCAAAACAGATCTCAGGGATTTCAGTTTAAAGATCAGAATATCTAAATGTCGTTCCAGCCAGAACGGATGTCGAAGTGTTTAGTTTTAATCAACATGCAGATGTGCCAGTAAATAAGGCTTTGAGAATAAGCAATTGCTGCTTTTTGTACACATCTCAGACTTTGTGGAGTAAATGGCAAAGACTGCCAAATCCCATTTGTTACTTCTAACATGCGCTATGTTTCATCTTGTTTCTATGGCAATAATCCCAACAAAGATTACGAGTCCATATAGATCAAGAAATAAATCTCATGGACATATTGCTGTCTAGATGAGGGAAAGCAAAAGTTAGAACAGCTGTGAACTTACAGGACACATCCAGGCTTTGGTGTAAAACAGAACTCAGTGATTTATTCTGTGCAATCCCTCACTGTCAGCACCATTTTGTATTATCAAATCAAAACGTGTCTAAACAGGATATTGCCTGAACTTTTACATCTCATTACATGAGAAATCTTGCTGAAATACATGGTAATACTTCTTGAAAAAAGTTTTTTTTTTTTTTAAACAAACTGAATAAAACCAGCTGTACACATGGTGCTGAGACATCCTTCTTGGGTATTGTCAAGAAATTAAGTTTGACTTTTTACCATGAAGTTCCTGATCTGATCTACAGTTTTCAGGCAAAGCCAGCATCAGATCTGTTTTGATTTGAACTGCTGCCTGGCTGCCACCTCACTTGCCACTGCAGGGAGCGATGCTTCTGCCATCAACGTTGTGCATTTGTTGCAGACCTGAAGGTTTTAATGTCATGTCATGTTGTTCACTGGGGGGTTTGGAAGGAGCAAAGATGCCCTGCTAACAGCACACAAGGTCTACTGGCAGTAACAATGGCAGTGAAATACCACATGTGCCTTGGAGGACCAGTATAATAAATGGTGTTCTGGAGGGAGCACTGCTGGGGAGGGAGGGGGGTCTTAGTGAAGGGCAGACCTCCATGCCCAGCCATGCAAAATGACTGATGGCACAGGTGGCTGCACAGCTACAGCATTCAAACCAACCCTGTGCTCCACAAGACTGACACCTGGGGCTGTGAAAACCACCTCCAAAATGCTTTAAAGAACAAGTTAAAAAAAAGCCAACCCAAACAATACCTCCCAAAAAAGGAATGGAACCTGCTTCTGGGATGAGTCTCCATTCTACAGGCGCCCCCAGATGGGAGAAGGCAGGATGAGTAGCTCCTTCCTTGCCTACAGAAAAACAAGACTATAACACGGAAATAAAAAACAGGCTGGGACCTACACAAAATAGGCAATAAAATAGGCAGAACAATTTATTTTACCAAAAAGGCAATGACCACCTGCAGTGGCACAGTGTAACCCCAGCTCCACGCAGGCAGTGCTGAGCAAGAATGAGCACATAAATACCCTGGCTGCTTGCTGGGTCACTTTGCAACAAAGCATCCTGGTCACTGTCCCTGATGCTGGGGCTGTGTTTGGCCAGGAGACTCTGGTCAGGAAATGCTGCAGCTCAAGCATAACTTGTTCAGCTGTGGCTGTTTTGGATAACAGAAGTTGGGTTTGCTGGCAGCAATCCTACCGGCTGCAAAGGAAATGCACTTCTGTGGTGTCATGGAAATAACCAAAATGGGGAATCTTCGTTTGCACTGTTATTGCCCTCTGCTCTTTTCTGCTGTTCTTCTTTCTCACCATTCATTTTCCTTAGCTTTTACTGACAATTACAAAGTGCTTTTTCTTTACATTCTTATTAATGTATTCCACACTTTCTTAAGATTGAAAAAAAAATAAATAAATAATGGTAATATAATGCTTCATAATCTTTTCTTCACTGTCCAGGACAGCTCAGTGATGAAAGCAAGTAATTAATAGACACTTCTCACTGCAGATCTTAGAAAACCTTTATGGACTTGATTTGCTGAGCCAGAACACAGAAGCAAACAATCACCAATACTTGAGAGAGAAGCCACCCACAAACCCTGCACTTATCTACACCTGCAAGTGCCTTAAATCTCTGAAAAGCCAATGCCCAAACCTGGAGAACTGAAGAGGACATGGCTCAGAGAAAGGGCTGCTAAGCACACTGCAGTGGGGGCCACCAACCTGATGACAGCCTGTCTCCTCTCCCACTGATGTTTCTCCAGTCTCAAACACAGGCTGCAGCAAGTGGTCCAACGTGCTAAAGGAGCTGAGATGAAAGCATCCCACCAAGCACTGCCCTGCCTGCTGTTACACCATCCCTGCAGCAAGTACAGTTAATGCTTACGTGGACACAAAACGTCCCGGAAATATTTAATGTGTTTTTTAGTGGCTTTGATGTGATAAGCGTTTTATCCTTTTATCAAAAACTTAATCACAGTGTTTACTTTTGATCTACATTTCATCTCTGCCTTCCATCTGCTCTGCTTCTCTCAAGGGAAACAAGAGCTGGTGCCATGTGACAAACAGAGCGGGGCTGCGGATGCATCTTCCCACCCACTTAACTTCCAGATTAACAAAATAAATAAAACTCTTCCCACTTCAAGGATGAAAGGCACGAGCTTCCGAAGATCCCTCACCAGAATTACAGGAATTGGAGAGGATGGTAAGGGTAGGTGTGGAGTTGGGGTGTCCACCTGTGCCATCACAGAGGCTTCAGACCACGAAGGAGCAAAAGCTCTGGACACAACTCACTGCTCAGTGAGCACAGGCAAGGAGCTGACCCAGGGTGTGGGTGACCCAAGGTCATGAGTAACCTGGCAAGGCACAGACTTGAGCAGATATCCCTAAGTTAGGGATTTTGTTATTTAAAAAATTATTATTTAATAATTTATTATCTAAAATACATAAAGCTCTTCCCACTTCAGGGACGAAAGGCACAAGCTTCTGAAGATCCCTCACTAGAATGACAGGAGTTGGAAAGGATGGTAAGGGAAGGCATAGAGAGGGAAGCAGAGGAAAGAGGAGAGAAAATTCCGATGTTTCAAAAAGAAAACCATTGCACAATAATTGCTTCCAGTTGTCAAGACCGTGGTTGTAAATGCTTTTTTCAGCTGGAGTACCTGGCATTAACAAACTCATAATGTACTTGGTGCTGATGTAATTAGGAAACTGGTAGGAGATGTAACTTCACCTTCTCAACAGTTCATAAAACATTCAATTTACAGCCATGAATTCGTGAGAATTGAAGAAAACTCAACCTGTCAATCCCAATACCATTGGAAATGGTTAAATGAGCAATGAAATGAAGCCACGCAACTTACAAACACAAAAGAATCAGCAAAGAAAAGAACCATGGGATGGGAAAGGTGGGGAAAAAAACACTTAACTGCAATATTCTCCAAACTCAATAGCAATGATTACACTTAGGCACAGACCAGCTCCCTCTCCTTTCCTATTTATTCCTCACATCACTAAAGCACTTCACTGAGATTCACATCAATGAGATTGCAAGAGCAGCAAGTGAATTTACGAGCTTTGGTTTCTGGGTATCTAATGAGACACAACACACAGAGGTGTGTGGGGCAGCTCCAACCAAGCTGCAGCTTCCATAGGGCACTATGGAAGCACGTAAAGCACAAATCCTCCTAATCCTGCTTTCAAGGGAAGTCTCACACCAAAATGACCTCTGCTGTAAAATGCAGATACATACTTTCCAGTTTCCCCATAGCAAAGTGCTCTAACCAGAAAGACCCAAAGATTCTACAGCTCAGCCCAGCACCTCCAAACCAGCATGCATGGCCCAGCAGTCATCAGAGCACACAGACAAAGTTTGGGGCTCCATCTTCTCCCTGCTGGCACCTGGACAAGTCAGAGAGCAAAGGCTCTCAGGTCAGGCACAGAAAGCAGCCTGGCTCCATCCTCTGCAGCAATGCTCCAAAACAGAAACACTGCCAGCACTGCTAGAGCTGGGCCTGATTTCATTCCTTGAAGGACATTGCAATGCGACAGAAAAAAGATACAAAAGCCCACAGAAATCACTTGGCTCTGCATCTTGCTTATTTGCTCTGAGCTGGAACAAGAGCTTTTATTCTCTGAGGTTTGCACACCACTGCTTTCAGAGCAGCCAACAGGAGTGGCACACACACACCTTCCAGCTCCATTTTTTCCATCGTGTCATTGAGAACAATCATACTGACTCCTGCAATAGAGGCTTACAAGCAACATCTTGCAGTCAAAATACTACAGCAGAAAAACAACCACGCTAACCAATTACCTGAAAATCTGACAGACGTGGCTCAGAAACAGACCCAGTTTATAGGTAAGGAGGAAACATTAAATCAATTACCAATACATCACAAGGAAGAACAAGGTCACCTTGCTGAAGGAATGTTTCTGTTTATGCTCATGTCCGAGTATTTTGTTCAATAGAGAAAAATGAAAACCTGATTATCGTGAATTTGGTAGACTGGGCTGAAACAGAATGTAAATCAGAAACGAGAAGATTTATGGCCAATTAAATTGAACTCCAATCAAAATCTCATTCAGGCAACAGTTCCCCGGGGGCTTCAATTTGTTAGTGCCACATTTTTTTAATAACTTTCTTTTTCATGTAACATCAGCAATAATAAAAGCCCTTCAATAACAAGCTGAGCAGCAAACGCATTATTTATCTTAAAATGCCATCATTGCCTGGAATCAGAAAGCAATGAAAGCACGCACTGTAATCACTCAGGAACAACCCCCCATAAAACCACTGATGTAAAGCTTTTTTCTTAGTCTCGGAACAATTTCTCTTTTCATTAAATTGGTTCAAGTCTGAAGTATTTCTCCTGAGTAAGAGTGACTTGGCACCAACCCTGGCATGAGACGGAACACCGGCTCTGATGTCTCAGGACGCCCGCACAGCTCAGACACTTTCCCAGTATTATGGCTGAAGTGCAGTGCCTATGGCATATCTGTGCCTCACAGAATCACAGAATCACAGAATGACCTGGGTTGGA